AATGTCATACTACTCAGATTCAGAAGTCTGAGGTGACAGCCATGAGCCATCATTAGAGCCTATTTGACACAGCTTACGTTGTAAACTTAGGAAAACCATTGCTTGCTGAAATGCTTCCGGTGGTCAAAAAACCCACTTAATTCACACATAAGAAATGTGCTGTCTTGGCTTATGTGGTTTATTTTGTTTCATTACTTTAGGTGCAGCTATCTTCTTTGAATTCAAACACTACAAGCCTAAAAAAAGGTTTACCAGCACCAAATGTTTTGCTTTCATGGAGATGGATGAAATTAAGCCTGGGCCAATTGTAATAGAGCTGTAAGTCTGTACTCATTTAATGGTGACTGCTATGTTGGTTTTCCTAGTCCCTGTATCCTTGGACTCAAAAGTATTTAATCCATCCTCAAAGCATTTTAAACAATGATCTTTCTATTGTGGTTACAGATACAAGAAACCCACTGACTTTAAAAGAAAGAAATTGCAATTATTGACCAAGAAACCACTTTATCTTCATCTACATCAAACTTTGCACAAGGAATGATCCTGACATGAATAACCTGGAACTTCTGTGAATTTTGCCACTTGTTAGAAACCATCACAGCTCTGTGTAGCATATTCACCCTTCAGAAGGCAGAAAGCAAGCTGTACCCGTGCCAGTAGGCCAGAGTGAGTCCACTGCAAAGCTGTACCACAGAATTCAAAGTCTAGCACATCACTGATGTATAAGACTCCTTTGGATACAGGTTTATTGTAGATTTGAAAACATATTTTTACTTTTCTATTGTGCAATTAATAGTCTGTTTTCTAAGTTACCACTACTCCTACCCTGCTTCCTGGAAAAATACTGTTGTGGGTAGGTTTGCTCATCTTCGAACTTAATACAGCAATAAGAATGTGCTAGAGTTTACATACACATCTGTTCACTTTTGCTCCAATATGCTCTTTTGGTTTGAGTTAACTTCAAACTTTGGGTTGAGGTGGGTAGAATAGTATCAAACTACTTTAAGAGAAAATGGACCAGTTATGCTGCCTAAGAAGGTCTGTCTGCAGATGATAGGCTGCTCCTTTGAGGTGGCCTACATTCACCTGATCTGATCGTTTTCTTGCTTAGAAATAGTGTGCCTTGGCCAGATCAGTACCCCGTGTGGGAGTGTTTCCCAGGTTGTAGCTGTGAGTTTTTCCAGATGACCAGATTGTTTTTCTGAAAGTGAGCATACTTTTAATCATGTTGATTAGATATTCTTCTGTATCACGTTGTTATTCTTTCTGATAACAATTCTAGGGTTAACATTGGAACCATCTCAGAATTAAATTTTTAGATGGGTTCACAATGTCTTCCAAATAATGTAATCTAAAAATAGCTGAGTCAGATGCTAACAAGATATTGCAGGAACAACTGCTGTTTTCTGACAACTGATTGTGAAATCTTCAAACCTGCATATCTCTTCTTATAGTGATGAGTATGCAAAATCTGGAAAGATATTCTATTTTTTTTAATATAGATAGATAGGATTGCCATTTATTTCCTATTTAGATATATTGGAATTCATCCATATGAGAATATGCAGGTCATTAGCTTATTATAATTTTACTATTTACATTTCTTTTGACTTAATGGGGCATAAATAAAATTTTCATAGTACACATGAGGTGGATATTTGATACACAGAACATTAAAATTTGTGATGGGCTCTCTGTGGGTTAGATATAGAACCCATGTATTTTAATATTCACTATTTTAATGAACAATGCATGAGGGGAATGCAATTTCAGTACTTGGCCTATTTTTAAACTAGTGTAATAACCCTAGTCATGCCGATATGTTTGCTTTTTGAAGTAAGTAATCACAATTAAGTTGTTTTAGCCCTTGCACTTCAAGAGATCTAGTCTTTACTTTCAGTTGTCTGTTAGGTCAATTCTGTTTATTAGTTGGATATTAATAAAGACTATATGAGCCTGAAAGAATTCTCAACCAAGTTTAGTCTTGTCTCTCATCTTGATTGGATTAATTCCAGATTCTCAAGTAACTCAATCCACAGTAGGGCTAGAGGATGAAGAATTTGCCTTAAGGAATTCTTTTTGTCAAATCCCCAAACTGTAAGCTCTTCAAGGAGCAAGAACAGTATTTCCTCCATGTCACACACATTTCCCTAGGTGCTTGGCAGCACTCTGTACCCTGTGGAGTACTCAGTACCTGTTTGATGTTGCTGATGAGACCTAAAATAATCCCTTAAAAATCCTACTATTAAAATGTAGCAAAACTGATACATTGTTCTTTCTCTTTTCTCATGATCATAAGATGTGTATCAAAGTGGTAATTTATATATAAAGAAGCATCTGCTGTCCTGCACTTAAGTATGGTTTATATGAACTACAAATGCCTTTCATCAGTTATTAAAGAAGCTTAAATTGAACACCGTGTGATTAGTTTAGCTTTAATTCAGACCTGAATGAAATGACAAAAAGAGTGATTATCTTGGAGCAGTTGACACAGAGTGTTCCACATCCCACAAATTATTTGTATGCTTTCCAGTGAGGAAGAATAATCAGCCATTAACTGTAACCACACTACAATAGAAATCTTTTACATTGAAATACTGCTGCTTCATAAATGAGACACTTTTAGCAACTAAACCCAGAAACACAATTAGCTAGAAATGACTTCTGAAACAGTTGTAATAATTTTGGAGATGGCAAAGTCTGACTTAACTGAGGACTGGTATTCCCTAAGCCACTTGTACATTAGCAGCTCACTCTGCTCTGACCCTTGCGGCAGAGATACGGTGCCATCAGATGGATGTGAAAGGCAGCAACTGTGGACTGACTCAGAACTGCTCAGGTAGGCTACACTGGAATCTCTTCACAGCTTACTGATTTTTTTAAACAAAATGAGATGGAAAAAACCTTTATTTTCAATGAAAAAACATTTTATTTACCTTTCCAACTTGATTATCTTCCTGGCTGGCAAAATCTATACTTAAAGGCCATTTAAAACTAGAAATTCTATTATCAGCATTATTGTGTGTCCTTAAAGAGATTAAGAGAGATTCAGAAGTTCTGTTTTTGACTTAATCTTCATTTATCGGGGGTAGGGGACCTTTCTTCTGCCAAGGGCCACCTGGGTATTTCTAATATAATTCACAGGCCATGCAAATTTATCAACTTAAAAATTAGCCTGTTATAGATTTACTGAATTTCAAGTCCCACTTGACCAAATGATTTTGTGGGCCTTATACAGTATGCGGGCTGGATGTTCCCCAACTCTGGTTTACATGGTTAAAATGACCTCTGCTATTTCTGTGGAGTTTTCCTCTTAGATTTAATTTCTTCTATTGTTGATATTAAATAGGATGTTTAATAGTTTTCCTGAAGAACTCAGGTATTTCTTATGAACTTTCTTTTAAAGATTTATTTATTTAAAAGGTAGAGATCTTTCATCTGCTGGTTCACTTCCCAAATGGCTGCAATGATTGAAGCTGGGCCCATCCAAAGCCAGGAGCCAAGACCTTCCTCTGGGTCTCCCATGTGGGTGTAGGGGCCCGAGCACTTGGGCCATCTCCATTGCTTTCCTAGGCACATTAGCAGGGAGCTGGATAAGAAGTGAAGCAGCTGGAATTGGAACCAGCACCTAATGTGGGATGCCAGTGTTCTAGACAGCAGCTTCACCCACTATGCCATAGTGCTGGCCCCTTCTTTATGAACTTTGAAAGTGTTACCTTCTTTCAAAGGTTCTCATCTTTTAGACTACTGTTTTCCATAGTTTAGGATAAAGAGATGATTTTTTTTCACAGTGAAAGTTTTGTTCCATTGTACAGAGTATTCTTAGTGGGTTAAATATCACAACAGTAACAAGTCAGGCTCCAGGTTTCAATTACGTGATAGAACTTCTGAGAGTGGCAGAACATAGTCTACCAGTAGACAAAAGTCTCAGCCTTTGGTAATTTTAATCTAAATTTTAAACCTATTAAAATGTGCCATTAAAAGTTAAAATCAAGGGGCCAGCATTGTGGCACAACAGGTTAAGCCATTACGTGTGATGCCTGCATCCCATTTGGGCACCAGTTTGAGTCCGGCTGCTCCTCTTCCAATCCAGCTCCCTGGTAATGTGCCTGGGAAAGCAACAGAGGATGGCCCAATTCCTTGGGCCCCTCCCTACACCCATGTGGGAGACCCAGATGAAGTGCCTAGCTCCTGGCTTTGCCCTGGCCCAGCCTGGCCCCCTCCATTTCGGCCATGTAGGGAGTGAACCAGTAATAAGGATCTCTGTCTCTGTCACTCTTTCAAATAAACAAAATCTTTAAAAAAAAGTCATTAAAATCTCTGAAGAGTTTGTTCTTAGAAACATTGTTTTAAAGGCACAATGTAATAATGGGCATAACACTTTTAAGTATGGTGCAATTCTAGATTCTTAGATTGATTGGTTTTTAAATTAAAGTACTAATGGTCAAATATTAACTTTGGAATAGTATGTATCAAAAAAGACGAGTTCAGCCACCAGCTGCTGACCTAGAGCATTCTATAAGCTGTTCAGTTCTAAATCATTCTTTCTCAGGTATTATACTCTTGTAATTTTTTTTCATATTCCTTGAAAATATGAAGGCACAGGAAAGATACAGACTGTACATTTTTAAAAACAAGTTTCCTTACTCTTACTGTCACACACACCATTTTTTCTGTTATGGACCCTTAAAGCAAAAATGGTAAAAAAAACAAGAGAACATCGAGTAAACCTTTCACTATTAATATAAACCCACACTCAGAAAATCATTTTCCAGTGGGCAATGAAGGTATAAGAAAGCACACAGACGCTGTACAGGTGGGATCAGTGACTTCATTGCCTTAAAAGGGAGGAATGACTTGTGAGTTTGCAGGTGACTGAGGCTGAGCAATAGGGCGTGGGCTTCCACGCTGTCAACTGCAGTTGTGGGAGCCCAGGTTTACATGTTTCCTAAATGGTACAAGTCTTCATGACAATCCAATGAATCAACAGACACTTGGAATATATTAATAAACAAATTTTTATGAACTATTACTACAAAGAACTTGAGCAAGAGGGGAAAATAAAAGTTTGGTGATCTTTTAGTAAACATTTTTAGCGTAACAGTCTTTATGACCATATTTTTTTTAAAAAAATCAAACTTACAAACACCATTGCTCTGTATTTAACTGGTGTACACTAAAAATAGGATGATGGAAATACACGTTCTTAAAGCATTTCCACAGGAAATGTTCATATTTTTCATGACATTCTAAATCATTTAGCAATTACATATACTACATTAACTAAAACACAGGTACTGTTTATTGCACATTTCAAAGTTGTAAGGATGTTCTAGCTTAAGAAGTGAATATTTTTAGGGGAGAAAATGGTATTTTTTAATTGTTTGGCTCAAAAATGCATACTGCCAAGTCAGCATAGTTCTATAAACAAACCTTTTAAAACAAACTTTTGGATTCTGAAGCCAATGAAATCCTTACTGTAACGAAGAGTGCACAGTCTGCTTCTCTCTGACTGAATGTCAGAGGTCAGTTACGGGCTCTGTTGTAAAGCCTGTGAACAGTCCTGGCTGCTGCTCTGAGAAGCAGGTGGAGGCTCCTCTCTGGAGCCCGAAGGCAGGAAGTCTCTTGCAGCAGGTGATGGCGCATAATCCTGGGGTGGAGGTGGGGGTGGTAACCGAGTACCAGGAATGAAGTACTCTCTTGGACCAAGAGGGCCTGGAGGTCTAAACGGTGTGTGTCCTGGTACAAATTCCCGAGGATCAAAAAGCAGGTCCTGCTTTCCAGGAGGAACGCCTGGTGCATATTCTCTTAAGCCTACTGGTGGACGCATACCAGGACCTGGAAAATAAACAGTTGGTCACACAAACATCTAGGAACACATCTAAATTAAGATGGTTCCAGATACGAATATATTAATGCATTAGTAGTTTAGAATTAGTTTCTCACAGCCTTAGAAAATCTAGTGATGGCATTCCAACTTTACAGATGAGGCAAACTGAGTCTCAGCAAGTTTGGACCACATGCCTATGGCCGGCCGGCCATGATACAACATAGGCTAGGAAAGATTTAAACATGGCTCCACCTAGCTCCAGATTCGGAATTTTTTGTCAATACAGTTTTGCCCTCTTTATTGCACAAAGAGCTCTGTTTGTGCTTGGAAGTACTGTATATCATGCCAAGAAAACAGGGTGTGAAATAAGCATTTAACTGCAATGAATTTTCATAAAGCAACTCCACATCTATTAATTATCAGTTTAAAACTCATATAGTAGGTTAGCATGAACCTAATACATTGCATCAAAATTCAGGTGCTCTGCTGGAGGAAGCATTTGCTCTTATCTTCTTTTATATCTGGTGATCAACTACCAATGGATGACTGCAAGGTTTTTGTTTGTTGAAATGAAGTTACAGGATGGGTCTTAATCAGCCTGGTACATAGCCAAAGATACTCAATGAACAGCTGTAGAAGTAATATTTCTGGCTGTCTATAAAATTGCCCCTTCTCTGTCTAGGAGACAGCTGCTGTCCATCTGAGTACAGGGAGATTATGCAGCACCTAATGGTTTCTGAGAAACTCAAAGAAAAGCTAAAATGTACTCAGCTTCCTCCTTGCATTGCGAAGCCCTGCGGTACCAACTATGTCAGCAAGCACTACAGAGAAAGAAAAGATGCCTATACTTTACAAGTCAGTTACTGCTGTCTAGATCATCATACCAAACGGAGGCAGTGGTCGAGGCCCGAAATGTCTGCCGAGCTGAGGAGGTGGTCCGTATCGAACGGGTGGTGGCAGAGGGCCTATGAAGGGCACCCCTGGGAAAGGAGGAGGCCCTTTTGGAGCCATATTAACCTGCAGAAAAAAAGCAAAGTTTTGAAATACTTGCATTTGACAGACAAAAGAACCAGCACCAGTAAAAGCTAAAAATTCAAAGAAGCCAATGTCAGGCACCTGTCCAAAAAGCAAAATCTGTGCACCACCACCAGCTCCACTCCTCCCATTTGTTTCCACTGGCAGCTTAGAGAGGTTCAAAGAGGACACAGAAATGACAGTTCCACTGAAATTTGCAACAAAAATGGAAGGAGAAGAGGACTGTCAAGTTATTAATGCAGGTGATTCCTAATTTTTAAAAAAGCCATACCATATACCCTGTCATCTATTTCTAATCCATCCTTTCATCACAATAGCTCATTAGTTCCATATTGAGTGTGCAGAGAACGAAAAAACACAAAAAAACTCATTCTCTCCACATGTAATAACAGCTACTAGTCAGTACATTCAATTGGCCTTTCATACATTGTCAGGTCACTGATAATCTCATAGTTTTCTTCCAAACAGAAGGGAACAGGGGCACAGAGAAAGTCACACAGCATGTAAGAGGCCAAACTATAATAGTTAATACCAGGCTGGACTCTAAACCTCTGTTCCTCTCTCACAAGGATTCTCTACTCTTTGAACTCTTCTATTTCAGTGGGATCTTGGGTCTTACACAGCTGCCACTGGATATAAAGATCTAAGAGAAATATATTACTGGTGGCCGGCGCCGCGGCTCACTAGGCTAATCCTCCGCCTTGCAGTGCCGGCACACCGGGTTCTAGTCCCGGTTGGGGCGCCAGATTCTGTCCCAGTTGCCCCTCTTCCAGGCCAGCTCTCTGCTGTGGCCAGGGAAGTGCAGTGGAGGATGACCCAAGTACTTGGGCCCTGCACCCCATGGGAGACCAGGAGAAGCACCTGGCTTCTGGCTTTGGATCAGCGCAGTGTGCTGGCCGCAGCACCAATGGTAAAGGAAGACCTTTCTCTCTCTCTCTCACTGTCCACTCTGCCTGTCCAAAAAACAAACAAACAAAAAACCACAAATATATTACTGAAGTCCTGCACTGGAAGTATTTTCCAACAGAAACAATATCTAAAGCAGGCATAGCTCTTAATATTTACCCACATTCACTAGTAATCCTATGTATTATGATACTGACTAATCACTGCCTACGGGAAAGTGGATTACAAACTCAAATTTACTTTGATTTCAATGTGTTGAGGTAAGATTAGAGAGGACCTACTGCTTTAACAGCTATAAAAGTTACAAGAGAAAACACTTAGGTGAACATAATTTAGGGCTATTCCTAGCAACTAGCTCAGTAGGTAATTTATAGATGTTCATTGTTTCAGTGAAACTATTTCAAATTCTTCAGTTATTTATATGTAACTTCAGATAAATAGGGCTTGCCTAGAAAATAAATGAAAGCATTCTTATATACCATATTTTCAAACAAAGATGATAATGATTAGTTATACAATTTGCTTAACAACATTCAGCACCAAAACATACAATATAAAGTTGGAATGATGCCTTTTCACATCTTTTATGTTAAAAAGTATGGCAGATGCTCTAAACAGATTAATAGTCTAACCACAACTGCAAAGAGGAGAAAAAAAACCAACCAACCAATCATGAGCCCATAGTTCAGTAACACTCCCAAGTCAAGGAGAAGAGTAAGATGAACATTGCCATGCAATTTAGAGCAAACAAGGTTAGTGTCATACTCCTTGTATCCTTTCCAGAAATACACAAAATAAAAGCCCAGGAGCACCTCTAAGTACTTACTGCTACTGGATGCTCAGAGGTAATGCTGGGAACTGACGGGCCTCCAGGCTCCTGGGGAACAGTTTGCTTTTTAAAAAAATAAATGAGGTAATACAGATAGAACAGAGAAACAGGAGGTAAGGCAAAGAAAGTGTGATAAGGAACGCTAAAGATTTCTGGAATTCCTAAACTGTAATTCCAATTGACTGCAGAATTTACCTTGCCCTCGTCCATCCCTTTGGTAGGGGAAGAACCTCTTGAGCTGCTGTTCAACATGGGTGCTGAACCAGATCCTGGATCTATTAAAGGAAAAGAACTGACTGAGACTTGCGTACTCTGTTAGGGAACTAAAAATCCTACCCCACTTGCTCCAGTGTTAAATCCTGAAGCCACTCAGGTCCCTTACCAGAGGCAGGAGGTTTCCCAGATATCTCCGATGGCCATCGAGAACGAGGGAGAGGCCCGTCCATTGACCCTTGAGAAAGAAACAACAGCCCTTGCATGCATTTTTCCTAAGAAATAACCAACTTTGGGCAAACTCTAACTAATCACTTATAATTTCCACACAGATTTAAGTGAATTAAAATAACTGCCCTAGACTGAAAGAACAGCAATAAACCCTGCATGTTAATAGCACTGGTCCTGGATTTCCAGTTAAGATTCAAAATAGGGTCAAGCAATGTGGACAAGCTGCCACCAGCAACACTGGCATCCTGTATGAACACTAGGTTGAATCCCTGCTGCTCCACTTCCTTTCAAGCTCCCTGCTAATGCACCTGGGAAAGAGAAGACGGCCCAAGTACTTGAGCCCCTGCAATCCACAGAGGAAACCTGGATGAGTTCTAGGCTCCTGGCTTCAGTCTGGCCCAGTCCCAGCCACTGTGGCCATTTGGGGAGTAAAGGAGCAGACAAAGATCTCTCCTTCTCTCCCTCTCTGTAACTCTTTTGAATAAGTAAATCTTAAAAAAAAAAAAAAAAGGATTCGGCCGGCGCCGCAGCTCAATAGGCTAATCCTCCACCTGTGGCGCCAGCACATCAGGTTCTAGACCTGGTTGGGGCGCCAGATTCTGTCCTGGTTGCCCCTCTTCCAGGCCAGCTCTCTGCTGTGGCCCGGGAGTACAGTGGAGGATGGCCCAAGTGCTTGGGCCCTGCACCCCATGGGAGACCAGGACCTGGCTCCTGGCTTCAGATCAGTGCGGTGCGCCGGCTGGAGTGGCCATTGTGGGGGTGAACCAACAGAAAAAGGAAGATCTTTCTCTCTGTCTCTCTCACTGTCCACTCTGCCTGTCAAAAAGTAAAAAAAAAAAAAAAAAAAAGGTTCAAAATAGACTTAAAGTATTTCATAGTATATGAGCAATGTAAGTATGTATGCTGCATGAACTAAAGTTCTAAAGCTACTTTTACAATATTTGCAAGAGGAATCCTATCAAAATGTATTTAAAGATAAAGGCTTATATTTCACAGTAAAAAATTAAGATCAAGAAATAATACCAGGAAAGAGTGCTCCAGGAAAATAAAAAATATTTTCTGTTCTAAAGCAGATCTTGCAGTTAACTATGCACCATGACATTAAGACATTTTCCTCTCTATACTGATCAGACTCAAATTCTAGAATGTTTACAACTAGAATTCCTAAATAAATATTAAATTTGAATTTACATTGGAATGCTCAAGAGCACATGAATACTCACCAAATTCACTTCTAGGCGCGTCTCTTCGATGGAGAGTAGCAGAGAGAGGCCTCCCGGGCGGCTCCGCGGTCAGCGGCGGGGAGTATTCGCCACCGCTCACAGGGGATGTGCCGAAGGAGCCATTCTGGCTCAGGGGACCTGAAGATGACAATGCCTTTTAAAGACAGCTGCTGCTGCTGCTTTTTTTTAAAATTAGTTCTTGGGATTACTCTAGGGCATAAAAAGTAGTGATTTACACACAAATTCTGCATCAAAAAATAGACTGCTGCCCTTTACAAAGTGTTCCCTACCTCTCCGTGGAGGGTTCTGTGTATTTGGTCTCCCTGGCATGGGCTTTACAATCACAGGTTCTTCTTGTAGCATTGCCATCTTCTGGGTTATTTCCAGTAATCTTCAATACAGGCAAAGAACAGACAAATATGAAATATCAACCAATTCCCTGTTGCAGTCTTTAAAAAAAACTCTAACATTCTCTGAAAATACAGATATCAAAATCACATACTTGTGTCTCAAATTGGCAGCTTCCCTTTTCTCTTCAGCTATAGCTCTCTCTGCAGCACGAGCTTTGAGCTATTTAGAAGAAGTATGCAAATTAAGTTGTGGCAGATTGTGCAAAGTAGAGGAAAGAAAGAAAAAAATCTTACCCAATTATCATGAGCTTTCTTCTCATGAGTAGCAATCTGAAAAAGATAACACATGAAATCTGAACACATGTTCAGAGATTTATTATACTAGTCATTGAAGTAGTCTGTATTAGGTATCAGAGTTCTGCAACTGTAGGAATTATAATTATTACCTGGTTCTTAAATGAGCGCTCCGTTTTCTGAAGTTCTTCCTCCATTTCCTCAATTCTCCGCCTAAGAATTACACTCAGTTAAAAGTATAACTGAATCAAATTAGAAACAATCTATGTTCCCTTTCTCTAGCAAGTATACTTTTAATGGCTATAGATTCTGAGTTGATATATCCTAATTCCCTTAATTTTTCCTCAATATGTCTTCAAATAATCCAACTAGGAGTATCTTCCTCCATAAAGCTTTTTTTCAATTATATTCATAGAAAATTTCCCAGAGTTATGATTACTGGGCATATCAAATAGCATAATCACTTTAATGGTTTTTGAAACACCACAGAGTAAACTGCTTTCTTAAAGAATACTCCAATGTACAAAACACCCAGAATTATCTGCACCAAGTTCTCCTGTGGTCTTGCTAGCTACAAGCTTAAGTAAGTAAATATTTAAGTTTTTATTTAACTTAAAACTTACTTTTTTTCTTATAGATGAATGTATTCATGCTTCTGTGCTGTTTTCTTCTATGTAACGTAAACACGCAGACACCAACCACTGACACTTTCAGAAACTCAACTCACCTGTAAGTTTTTACTTCTTCTGCAGCCAAAACTGCCTTTTCATCTGCAGCTGACAGCCGCTGCTCTCTTTCTTCCCGCTCATACTCTTCTTGACTCAGCTTCCTAAGACAGAACCAGTTGTCAAGTCAAAGTTTCTCTTTCTGCCAAGCAGCCGGAATGCTCTGTTCAAATGTAATTCTCCATCCTTCTCTAAAATACATATAAAATCCTATAGGAGGCGATTCAAACCTGCATGCAGGGATAAAAACCAAACTCTGGCCTCTGGGCAAAAACATTTTCATTTTCTAATCTCTCTTCATAATTCTTTACTCACTGGTAATTAAGACAAGTTTAAAAAACACTAGGTGCTCCATGGGAAAGCCTCTTGTGCTCACTTGCATCAATGTGGAAAGCCAGGACTGGTCTACTAACACAATTAAGTGTTTCAGGACAAAAGAGAGGATTATTTATTTCCCTTATTTCTGCTTTACCTGCTACACCACAGTGCTGGCCCCCCCCTAAGAAAGGAGTTGAAGCTCAGAGAGGTAAATCTATTCCACTGTATCAGACATTTTAAATTTTTTTTAAATTTTATTTATTTGAAAGGCAGAGAGATAGCAATCTTCCTTCCATTGGCTCAGTCCCCAAATATCAGCAACACCTAGGGATGGCAGAAGTCCAGGCCTGGGAACTCAATCCAAGTCTCCCACAAGGGTGGCCTGGTCCCAACTATTTAAGCCACTTCCTGATGCCTTCCAGGGTACACATTCATGAGTAGGAAGCTGGAACTGAAGCAGAGTTAGGACTTGAATCCAGGCACCCTAATATGGGATGCAAGCATTCCACGACACTATTAACTGCTGTGCCACGCTTGCCCCTGTATCAGACTTCTTAATAAGTCTAGGATATATGCCATGGTCCTTAAGGTTTTTAGATAGATAGGCAAACAGAAAGGAGAAAAAAAACACAGAACAGGCCATGAAACAGAAAGCAACCATCAATCTGAACTTAAACTCAAATAACATATTCAAGACCTATATATAAAAACAAAAATTAGTACTCACACAGTTTCTAACTCCACAGGAGATTTTAAGGGAGACAGATGTGTGAGTAAGCAGGAGACTGCCAGGTGGAAATAATGTAAAAGACGTTTTCACTGCAAAGACGACAGTGTACGTAAAGACAAAGAGGCTCGAGGGCATGCAGGGACCGGTGAATGTGGCCACAGTTGCGCCAGCAGCAGAAGGAGCTGCAAGCTGGTGCAGCTGTAGAGGCCACGCAGGACCAGTGGGAAGCACCCCCCACTGCACGGAGTCTAGAACTGATCTCGAAGGAACGAGAACTCCTTCACAGACTTTACACCACCAAGACATGGAGACTGCACACACCAACAGCTGTACAGAGTTTGAACTTAGGGGACTGACAGAAAAGATGAGCATTCAGATATTTTGTGGAGAAAAATCTTAAAATGAACTATAAAAATGTATCTTTCAAGAGCTATCTAGCTCTAAATTTGAAATGTAGATGTCACAGGATTAACATCTAAATATGCATACCAAGCAAGTATTTCCATATTCAAAACTCCTTTTATCCTTACCACAATTACACCATGGTTAGTCTGAATACCTGACTATACACAGTCCAAAATTTATGATATCTTCACTAACTAAATATTCCTTTTGAAGTTTTTATGTAACTGAAAAAGAGGTAATACAAACCATTCAGGATTTTTAAAGGCTATATTAAGAGCTAATGGGGCAGGCACTGTGGCATGGCAGGTAAAGCTGCCACTTGCCGTGCCGGCATCCGATATGGGCGCCAGTTCGAGTTCTGGCTGCTCCACTTCTGATCCAGCTCCCTGCTGATGGCCTGACAAAGCAGTAAGGATGGCCCAAGTGTTTGGGCCCCTGCACCAGGAAGAAGCTCCTAGCTCCTGGCTTTGGATTGGCCCAGCTCCAGCCATTGTGGCCATTTGGGGAGTAAGCCAGTGGATGGAAAACCTCTCTCTCTCTGCAACTCTGCCTTTCAAGTAAATCAGTAAATCTTAAAATAATAATATAAAAAAGCTGACAGAACAAATGCAACAAATCAGAATTACATAACTGACCACAAAAAAGAAAGTGAATTAAGTGGTGGAATCACAGAAAGGGTACAGATCATCAAAAAAGTAGCACTTTGTCGGGCCAGTGCTGTAGCACAGAGGTAAAGCCGTGACCTGCAGTGCCGGCATCCATTATGGGCTCCGGTTCGAGTCCTGGCTGCTCCACTTCCGATCCAGCTCTCTGCTATGGCCTGGGAAAGCAGAAGAAGATGGCCCTAGTCCTTGGGCCCTTGCACTCGCATAGGAGTCCAGGAAGAAGCTCCTGGCTCCTGGCTTCGGATCAGTGCAGTTCTGGCCACTGTGGGCAACTGGAGAGTGAACCAGTGGATGGAAGACTTCTTTCTCTCTCTCTCCTTTGTCTCTCTGTGTAACTCTGACTTTCAAATAAATAAATAAATCTTTTAAGAAAAAGGGAAGCACTTCTGCAGCAGTACTGCTAGTGCTAATAGACCGCTCCCCTTCATAGGAATTAAGGGCAACAATTTCTGCAGGCTGGTTAAAGTTATGGAATTAACAAAACCGAAGGAAGAAGGACCGCTACTAATTACAGATGAACACACTGTAGATAACCTTAAAGATCAAATGTACACATGTATTCCTGATGGCAGTAACACTGTTAATGATGAACAATGGGAACGTACTTCTGCAGAGCCATCTCCTTCTGCTGATAGAGTTCATTCAGAATCTCCACTTTCTGCCTCAGCGTTCTGCACTCATCTTCCAGCCCAGCTTTGGCAGATTGCAGGGCACTGCGGTCATCTTCTAGCTTCCTTATTTGTTCTGTAAAGGGTAACACTGTTATCTGTGTGTGCCCGAGGACTTGGTCACAGGGGCAGTGCTTTAGAGGAGTGGGAAGCATGAAAGCAAGAAACTCTCCGCATCTTTTCAACGTAATTTTACATCATTCCAGCATATGGCAATTTCTTCTCAAAAAGCAACCTACCTTCCAGGTTACATTTAGTGGACATCGAGGCTCTTAGCTTAAATTGTAAAAGTTTTAAATCTTCTTCAACTACTGATATTGCAGTTTGTGTCTAAAAATTGCAGAAGAAAGATGTACTCTTAAAAGTGAGGCACAGGAAGAATTCATGGGTATTTATGAGACTGTATAAAAGGACTATACCCGAGAGACGTCCATCATCTGCTTAATTTGATTCTTCATCTTCTCATTCTGGTCACCTAAAAAACAAAAAACTTGAATTGACTCTTCTTCCTTGCTTTTAATTCTGAATTTTCCTGACTTCCCCAAAGTTACATAATTACCATGTTCCAACATTGAAAGAAACAAGAAATTAACCAACAAAACAAATTGACTTTTAAGAGAATTAAAAGCTTAGATTGAAAAAGTGAATCTTTAGTATGTACAGTAAAAATGTTATCTATGCTATTCTTGAGCAAGAAGAAATATGTGAGATAAAGTCCCTTCTCTCTCAGACCTGTGTCCACCAGGGCAAGTGTCTTATTCAGAAAGACCCACTACTCCTCTTCTTTCATTGAAATGCTACCAGGTATGGTTTAAAACAGCCAGTATGCAAGTAACATCCAACTCAGAAGACAGCATCCAGAAACATTTTCCTCATCAGTAAACATTACTTAATCTCTAGTCCTATTGCCCTCTAGCCTCTGCATGACATTAATTTATGGCTCTGACCACCTTAATACTCTTAAAACAGGTTGCAGGCCTCAAAACCCAAGAGCTAAAGATGATGTATATTAAAATCAAATGTCATTTCCATAAAGCTGAGAAACAACTTTCCCCTACTGTATAGTGTTTCAATATTTAGAGGTGTTACAAACAACTAATGCAGCTCCAGTATACATACCTTATTCTCAATGGGATGTAAAAACAAAATCAGTGTTCTTTGTCTGCTTATTGCTACTTAACACCCCATCAGCCTACTTCTGCTCAATGCAAACAAATATATGTACAAAGTCAGTGACAAACATCTACAACTTTAAAGCTTATGAAGAAATTCAGGGGCCAGTGTTGTGGCGCAGCAGGTTAAACTGCCACCAGCAATACCAACATCCCACATCAGAGTGCCAGTTTGAGTCCCAGCAGCTCCACTTCTGATCTAGCTCCCTGCTAGTGTGCCTAGGAAAGCAGCAAAAGATGGTCCAACTGCTTGGGCTGCCATCCACATGGGAGACCCAGAGTTCCAGGGTCCTGGCTTCAGCCTAGGCCACTGCAGCCATTTGGGGAGTGAACCAGCAGATGGACGATCTCTCTCTGTCTCTACCTCTCTCTCTGTCACTCTGCCTTATAAATAAATATATACTTTTTATAAAAGAAAAAGAAGAAATGCAGTCAGCTGAAAAGCAGCATCAGTGTATGTAATTAAAGAGAGAAAAGCAAAAAGAAACCCCACCTCCCCAAGATGATCTTACCTCCCAGTTTTCCATTGGCTAACTCATCTGACTCACTTCCTCCTTTACCCTGACCGTCAGATTCAGATTCACACTCTAACCGATTCAACTGTGTAATGCAATTAGTCAATGCCTAAAAGAGAAGCAAAAGGGAGGGTGTAAGAGCCTCTCAATTATAATTTGGCAGATTTCCTGAGAATTCTTAAGTATTAACCATATATCATGAGAATGAACTTACATTAATATTATCATCTTTGTGAGTAAGAGCTACTTCCAAATCTTTCTGAGACTTCTCAAATGATTTGATTTGCTCACTGAGCTCAGCATGGGATTTACTCCAATCTTCAATTTCCTGCTGCAACTGAAAAATCAAAGCACATGAATTCCTACAGATTAGGGCTTTTTGCACTGGAGACACTACGACCACGTGAATGTGACAGGAAGTAGAAAGCTACATCCCTTGGCCTGTCACTTTGGGCTAAGGGTGAGGGGAGGGTGGCTCCAACCTTCTGAGCAGTAGCAAGAACATCAGAGCCATCAAGTAAGTTGACCCCTATTATTGCATAATTCCGAGAACTGCAGCCAGTTCAAATACTTCCAACAGGAAAGGACAACACATCTCACTGTCTCTAAGTCCAGACTCCTGATCAGTAACTGTTCAAGGACGGCTAGGAAATACCTAGTGCTTTTTGTCTAGGAAGTCAATCCAGTAGACCCTTTGAAGCTACTCAAGTTAATAACTGGTTGGTGTTTGACAAGATAAAGACTAAACATTCTCATGGCTGCAATAAATTGTGCAGAAGAAAAGAAAATCCAGAACAGATGGCGAACATATACATGCACTCAATTTAGGAAGCATAAACTACACATCCAAGAATAAGGTCCTGCATGAATATTTCATTACCTTAAAAATAGATCCAGGAAAAGATATTTACAAGACAGTGATATTCAGTTCTCTGGTTTATATTGTCTATGACATGATCTTTTTCTTACCTGTTCTTTTTTCTTTTTAAGCCTAGCATTTTCTTCTTGAACCCGATGGCATTCAGACTTCACTTTCTCTTCACTAAGTTTAGCTTCATTAAGGGCAATTTGAACCTAATGCAAAATAGTCCCATTAGTACTTGATTCCAAAGGGGGAAAAACTGTTACACTTTCCCAGACATCATGTAGTTTTCGTTTACTGCATATGTTAGCACACAACTAATTTCTGCTCCTCAACAAAACTAAGATATAGTATTAACATCTTTACCTCTGAAAATTCTGAGGCATTCACTGAAATAACATCCTTTAACGTCTCTATAGATTTCTTGTTTTTCAATATCTGCCATGTGGAAATAGAACACAAAACATGCATTAGTATTTTAGTCAAAATGCTGGGATATTTGCTAAAATGAAGAGCCGTTAACAAAACATATCCTGAGCCACTGGCTACATTTCTGGAAAAATCAGGAGATCTGGTTTTGACTTGGGAAGAAAATCAAGATTAAAAAGTTGGGGGTGCGGGGGAAGGCGGTGCTGCGGTGAAACAGGTAAAGCCGCCATCTGCAGCGCTGGCATCCCATATTGGCGCCGGTTCTAGTCCCGGTAGCTCCACTTTTGATCCAGCTCTCTGCTATAGCCTGGGAAAGCAGAAGATGGCCCAAGTCCTTGGGCCCCTGCACCCCCGTGGGAAACCCAGAGGAAGCTCCTGGCTCCTAGCTTCAGATGGGTGCAGCTCCAGCCACTGCGGCCAATTGGGGAGTGAACCAGCAGATCGAAGACCTCTCTCTCTGCCTCTCCTTCTCTCTCTGTGTAACTCTGACTTTCAAATAAATAAAAATAAATCTTTAAAAAAAAAGATGAGGAAAAATAATTGAAGGCATCAATATTTCATGGCAACCATCAACTTTTCCAGGTTATGAAATAATGTAATATGGGATGACCAGACAAAAAAGTAAATGCAAAGAAAATAAAATAAAACTTTCAAGTAAACAAGTTGAAATTAATGTTTTTTTCCTAGGGGTACAGAAAAAATAATCCCAAGGTCACTTTAAAAATTCTTTTGCCTAGGGGCTGGCACTGTGGTGTAGCAAGGTAAGCTGCTACCTGCAACACCGGCATCCCAATATGGGTGCTATTCCAGTCCCAGCTGCTCCACTTCCAATCTAGCTCCCTGCTAATAGCCTGGGAAAAACGGCAGAAGATGGCCCAAGTACTTGAGTCTTTGCCGCCCATGTAGGAGACCTGGATGAAGCTCCTGGCTCCCGGCTTTGGCTTGGTCCCACACCAGCCGTTCTGGCCATTTGGGGTGTGAACAAGAGGAGGTTTCTTTCTTTCTCTCTCTCTCTCTCCCTCTCCCTCTCACTGTAATTCTGCCTTTCAAATAAAATAAATCTTTTTTAGAAATTATCTTGGCTAAATTAAACATGCTAGAATTTGAGAATACACAAATCTCACATATAGAAGACTCCGAAATAATTTATCAAGACACTAGAGGGAGAACCTAGCACTTCATTGTTTAGCTGAGGGCTAGGAATAAGCACTTCCTTGTGGAGAGTGGAGGAAGGAAACAATTGAAAAGGAATCATTTTACAGCAGAAAAGCCTGCCAGATCCTACCTCAGCTGGGTAATCAAGCTTAACTGTGGATGGGGTATCCAGGATGGAAAAGTTCAACTCACATAATATACAAAATAGTTCAAAAGGCAAATCACAGCAACACTTAGCAGCAGAACTCTTACCAAGTCCTGATTCATGACATTCTGTTCTCTCTCAGATTCTAACATAACACGAAGATTTTTAGCAGTGTCATCCAGAATTTGATTACTTTCTTCAAGACGCTTGATTTTATCCTACCAAAAAAAATTAAGCTTAGTAATAATTACTCACTGCATTTACTTTTGATTTTAGATTACAATCCCCAAAAAAGAGTAAGTTTTTACCTTAAATTTAATTGCTTCATCCGAAAGAATCATATTTTGTTTCTTGGTTTCTTGAACGTGTTTCTTTGATTCTTTGATCTACATAAAACATTGAGAATTCAGAAACATACATTGTAGTGCTATCAAAACATTTACAGAGGGGCTGGTGCTGTGGTGCAGCAGGTTAACGCCCTGGCCTGAAGCACCGGCCTCCCATGTGGGTGCCGGTTCTAGTCCTGGCTGCTCCTCTTCCAATCCAGCTCTCTGCTTTGTCCTGGGAAAGCAGTAGAAGATGGCCCAAATCCTTGGGCCCCTGCACCCATGCACCTGTGTGGGAGACCTGGAAGAAGCTCCTGGCTTCAAATTGGCGCAGCTCCAGCCATTGCAGCCAACTGGAGAGTAAACTAGCAGATGGAAGACCTCTCTCTCTCTCTCTCTGCCTCTCCTCTCTCTGTGTAACACTGACTTTCAAATAAATAAATAAATCTTTAAAAAAAATTTACGGAAGGAGTCACTGCTTTATATATTCAATGACTGCTTAAGATTTGGACAGCTTATAGGAAATAATCAAATAAGAAAATACAATTTTGAGGGGCCGGCACTATGGCACAGTGGGTTAACACCCTGGTCTGAAGTGCTGGCATCCCAAATGGGGGCCAGTTCAATTCCTGGCTCCTCCACTTCCGATCCAGCTCTCCGCTATGGCCAGGGAAAGCAGAAGATGGCCCAAGTGCTTGGGCCCCTGCACCTAAGTGGGAGCCCGGAAGAAGCTCCTGGCTCCTGGCTTCGGATCGGCACAGCTCCGGCCGTTGCGGCCAATTGGAGAGTGAACCAGAAGATGGAAGACCTCTCTCTCTCTCTTTCTCTCTATGCCTCTCTCTGTGTAACTCGAACTTTCAAATAAATAAATCTTTTTTAAAAAAATACAATTTTGAAATATTATAAGACAGGTGGAAATATTTCAAGCTGGAACCAAGAGTGGGAAAAATAAAGAATATTTTTACCTTTTTTTCATAATCTGACAATTTTTGTACAAGTTCTGCATTTTCTTTCATGATATTCTTCACTTTCTCAGAAATTTGCTGTTCAGTGACTAAAAAGGGGAAAAATCCTTAAGATTACTATGATCACTAAATGGAGCTGAATTACCCACTATACACACACACACATGTTTTCTGGCACTAGGAGGAAAAGAACTTCCTAGTACAACTATCACGCCCTTAAAAACTAATTTGGGGATGGCTGTGGTGGTGCAGTGTGTTAAGCGGCCACTAGGGATACCCACACATCCCACATTGGAGTGACCAGGATGGAGTCCTGCCTCCACTGCTGATCCAGCTGCCTGCTAATGCACCAGGGAGACAGCAGGTGATGGCCCAAGTACTTGGTTTTCTGCCACCCGCTTGGGAGATGGGGATGAGGTTCCTGGCTCCAGGCTTCAGCCTGGCCTAGCCCCAACTATTACCCTAGGCATCTGGGGAGTGAACCAGCAGATGTAAGATATGTGTGTGTGTCTGCCATTCAGATAAATAAATCTTTTGGAAAAAAAAAATCAGTAGGATGAGTGTGTGGCACATCAGTTTAACTGCCACTATAAAGTCTACATCCTATATCAGAGTGCGAGTTCAAGTCCTGGCTACTCAGCTTCTGATCTTGCTCCCTGCTAATATGCCTGGGAAGCAGCAGATGATGGTTCACATACTGCAGGACTGCTGCCCATGCAGGAGACCCAGACGGATTTGCTAGCTACTAGCTTCAGCCTGGCACAGACCTGGCTGTTGCAGGATTTGGGGTCTGAATCAGAGGATGGAAGATCTCCCACTCTCCTTCTCTTTCTGTCATTGTCTTTTAAATGAATAAATAAATCTTTAAAAAGAAAGCAATCTATTGTTAATAGCAATAATGGTATAAAAATATTAAAATTTAAGAGAAGTATAACAACCCTTATTTCAATGAGATCCCACTTAAATGTATTTGGAATATATGAAATATAGTAAAATGTTATAGCTGAACATTCCTCCCTTCACAAGGTACGTTTCTTCCTAGAAAATATTTCATTTGCAAAAAGAAACAAAATGCAAGCATATTAATGTACATATTTACTCCTAAAATTATCTATTTAAGCAAATATTTGCTATGCTGGTCGAATCATTAGCACAGCAATGTGGTTCACATGTAATAAATATACATCCAAGGCCAATCTGCACCAAGTTAAACTAATCATCGCTGCTCCACTCCTCTTCACCACCATCTACTCTAGTATCCAAGACAACAAGCTACAATAGTAAAATGTTCAGAAGTCAACCTGATATCAGAAGTCACTATACACATCTACTTCTAGCTCACCTAAAACCCAATACAAAGGAGGAACAATACAAGTAACAAAATAAGCCTAAAAATTTACCTTGATATACTCTATTCTTTACCTAGAAGAGAAATAAAATTGATATTAAACATTTTACTAATAGAATTATTCATTGCCTAATACAACAGTCAAAATCATAATCAAATAGAATTTAATAATGGTTTAGTTTAGCATAATAAATCCATGGGATTAAAAACAAGGAAAGGTTAAATAGCATTTCAAGTGTAACTGGTAGTAAGCCTTCATAATTTTTGATAAATAAAAGCATTAAGATGTATGTTATTTTTCAGCTGAGGTGTTTATATATCTATTAAATGAGCACCAGTCTTAAGAAATGAGCACCTGGCCGGCGCTGCGGCTCACTTGGCTAATCCTCCACCTGCGGCACCTGCACCCCAAGTTCTAGTCCTGGTTGGGGTGCCGGATTCTGTCCCAGTTGCTCCTCTTCCAGTCCAGCTCTCTGCCTGGGAAGGCAGTGGAGGATAGCCCAAGTGCTTGGGCCCTGCACCCGCATGGGAGACCAGGAGGAAGCACCTGGCTCCTGACTTCGGATTGGCACAGTGCGCCGGCCATAGCAGCCATTTAGGGGGTGAACTAACGGAAAGGAAGATCTTTCTCTCTCTCTCTCTCTCACTGTCTAACTCTGCCTGTCAAAAAAAGAAAATAAAAATAAAAAAAAAAAGAAATGAGCACCTAACTTTATAAAAGTGGCTAATTTTTTTCATAACAAATATACAAATGTTTTATTTACCCAAAGTTTATCTGACCAATCCAAATAGAAGTCTAGAAACAAAGACTATCAAAAAGACTCTAAAGAAACTATACTAAAGAAGTAAATTTTTTGGCCAGCGCTGCAGCTCACTAGGCTAATCCTCCGCCTGTGGCGCCAGCACCGCGGGTTCTAGTCCCAGTTGGGGTGCAGGATTCTGTCCTAATTGCCCCTCTTCCAGTCCAGCTCTCTGCTGTGGCCCGGGAATGCAGTGGAGGATGGCCCAAGTCCTTGGGCCCTGCACCCGCATGGGAGACCAGGAGAAGCACCTGGCTCCTGGCTTCGGATCAGCACAGCGTGCCGGCCGTAGAGGTCATTTGGGGGGTGAACCAAAGGAAAATGAAGACCTTTCTCTCTGTCTCTCTAACTCTACCTGTCAAAAAAAAAAAAAATGTAATTTTTATCTAAGATATATCTCTTTAACGTTCCAGAAAAAAAAAAAAAAAAACTTAGAAATCCTATGCAAAGTTGGTTATTGGCTGAATTCAGAAGTCACCTAATAAGTTAGATCATCTGACTTCCTCAGACCAGGAAGAACAGTGGTTATAAATCTGCCAAGGAAAGGAAGACTACTTGAGAAAAATACACCAACAAGAGTGTTGTCAGCTAACATTTCCTGAAAAGAAAAAAAAAAAACCATTCCCCAAGGATAGCAATTAATTATAGGATAATAAAACTGAAGCAGTAACTAACTACAAAAAATGTAAGCATGACTTACAAAAAATGTAAGCCTTTGTAACCCAAGATGTATTTCCTCTTTCAAATGTGATAAACAGTGATGAAATACTTAAGACCATGCCAAAAATGATCTATGGTATCAATATTATCAGTATCTAAACTCCACTTATAATAATGCTGTTACAGGAAAATGTATTGAGAAAATTCCAACATGGCAAGAAATTACTATTTGTCTAATGTCATAGCCTTGCTAATATACCCCCTTTCTTCCAAACAACAGGCAGGGGAGAGTGACAAGCAAAAAGCAGACATCTAAGATCGTGAACAGTTTCCAAAAGTCAAATGCTGAGGCTGAGAAGCCGCAGTTAGAACACAAAGCTGGAGGCCAGCGCTGTGGCTCAGCCGGTAAAGCCACCACGGGCAGTGCCAGCATCTCATATGGGTACTGGTTCAAGACGCGGCTGCTCCACTTCTGATCCAGCTCTCTGCTATGGCCTTGGAAAGCAGCAGAAGATGGCCCACGTCCTTGGACCCCTGTAACCATGTGGGAGACCCGGAGGAACTCCTGGCTTTGGACTGGCACAACTCCAGCACAGCTCCAGCCATTGCGGCCACTGGGGAGTGAACCAGTGGATGGAAGACCTCTCTCTCTACCTCTCCCTCTATCTTTGTGTAACTCTGACTTTCAAATAAATAAATAAATCTAAAAAGAACTCCACATAGCATTCAGCCTTTAAAAAGAAAACAAAACAAAACAAAACAAAACAAAAAACAAACACAAAGTCTTATGAAAATCCAAACAGATGTTAGGGCTTTTGAAATGTGACAAACAAGAATGGAAACTGTGAAACATTTTCACCTTTCCCACTCTGTTCACCTGCCGCTCAATGAGGTCCTACAGGAAACCAAGCAAAAGAGTCTTCTTTTAAAGGGGGTGCTTCTTTTTAAGCAATTATATAACCAATTGTACAGGAGAAAAACTTAAAAATTATACATCTGATATAATTTTTAAAATAAGAAAAAGAATACTTAGTTTTAGAAAAATTTGTATCTATGCATGAATTTAAAAAAATTTTTTACACTAAAATATTTAGTTCTATTTTTCCATAAATTCCCCTGTATAAGGAAAAAGGCTGAAAAATCCCCTCATCTCCCAGTTACAAGAATTTCTATCATTTTGTTGTATTTCCTTGAAGCACTTTGTGTATGTGTGTGTCTATAATAAAGTTTATCTACAGTTTTGAAGTCTTGGTTTCTACTTTTATCCACCACTTAACACTGGACTGAGCATTTTCTGTGCCCCGATGTCCTTGAAACAAATGAGGCCACCAAATAACCCATTGTACAGATATAGAATAATTGAACAGTTTCCTTCCTATGGGTTATTTAGGTTGTGCCAAGAGTTCACACTAATAAATACTGCTGCAATGAACTCCCTTGTACAAGATCTTTAATGCATGATTGGTTATTTCTTCAGATTTTCAGACATGACATTACAGTATATAAAAGAATATGAACATTTTTAAGGCTTCTTATGTGTATTATTAAACTACTTTTCAGGATGCCTGTATGAACTCCCAGTTCTATTAATAGTATGTACACACACACACACACATACACACACTCCTACTTCTTAATCTCTAGGGTTTTATATAAAGATTTTAGAATTGGAAGTTTTCCACTGAGATTACACACTTCTTGTTTGCTTTCATCTTTACCAACACAAAGATTACACTCAATTATTTTATAAGGTTAGCCTGAATTATAAGCATTAATCTGTGTTGATGTTAGTAACAAAAACAAAAGAGCTAATGACTATAAAACGCCCACTGTTTTTATGAATCAGTGTAGAGGTTAATTTAATTTACTCACAACAAGGATAGTTCTCCAGAAGAAAACAGCAAATGAAACAATTCCCAAGAAGGCAGTGATAAGTACAGGTTTCCATGGCAGTCCGTAAAAATCAGGCCCCGGCTGAACATCATCAGGCAGTGTAGCAACTAACTGAAATAGAAATGATGGGAAACCTTGAAGAAATTTACAATAAAGTGGTCACAAAGAGTCATCCTAGAAATTATAAACCAACACCCATCAGATGACACTTCCAAAAAAATCAAGCCCTCCTGCTTCCAGAAGGACAGGATACCAGCAGTCTCCTATTCCTCCTTTGTCTTGGAGTGCTTTCCAGTATTATGAATGTAAATGTGTTTAACTGTGTATATTTGAGTATTTTCAGTTCACAGCACATAGGCCCTACCACCTCACCTCGTGTGATACATTATTAGAATCCCTGGATCATACTTTTCTGTTGGATAAGTTGATTTTTAACCACTTTAAAAAACCCACACAAGTGATTTAAATATCCTATGGAAATTCAACTTTTATGGTTGCAAATAAAACCAGTATGACGATACTGAACAATACCAGTAATGCGTTATTCCGCTGTGATTTTAAATCTTACTTCTTCTACTCTACTGGTACAAAAGCAACGAGAAATGCTGACTAAGTTCAGGCAGTTCTAGATAACTGGTCTGGATACACTGTTCTGAATTTCACTCTCTTCTATAAAACTCAGCGCCTTAATTCTAAACTTTTTCTCAAATGCAGGAATTAAGCACCTGCCTGCTCTGAAAACAATGGGGACATTTAAAATGGGGTGAGAAAAACGGTATTTGTAGATTTTTAAAGGTACGTCTTCCGGTTCTGCAGTCAGTTCAAAAGAACAAGCAGGAAAACCACGGAAAAGGAGCGCGGTGAAGGACCCGGTGCGGGGGCTGGGGGAGGGTCTGCAATGAGAAGATCACAAAGCGCCTGCCCTCTACAAAGCACACCAGTTAGCTGTCACACTGGCCTCACTCGCCAACGACGCTCACGGGGCAGAGACCTGCAGGGACGCCACGCTCTGGGTTTTGATCATGACAGCACACCGGAAGGTAACAAGGCACCTATCACTTCCTAAGGGCTCCACAAATAAAAAGAACCAGCGATTAAAGCTTATCAAATAGACTCTCTCTCTGCCTCCGTGAACGGCACAGCCACGTCCGGGCCGGACGCGCTCCTCGGCCCTGCCGGCCAGCGCTCCCACTCTGCCACTCGGCCGCCCGCCTGCCACAACCCGGGTCCCGCCCCGGCAATGGGGACCGTCACCTCCAGGAGCTTGGCTAAGAGGGCGGCGTAGAGCACCGACAGGGGTCCCAGCAGTTCCGGGTCCCCCTGGGAAGCAGTGACAGAAGGCACAGTGGCAGGTACTGAGTCCATCGTGGAGGGACTGCAGAGCGGAGGCGACGTTTCCCTGCAGGAAGGCACAGGAGCCCCCTCTCGACGCTTCCGCCTTCGGAAAGCACCTGCTCAGAGGGGGCGGATACTGGGAATGAACTTCGCCTTCCCCGGCCGAGGGCACGTTCCCCCTTAACGCCTCCAATAAAACACGTCATCACACACGGCCCTCCGGAGGACGTCAGCGCGCTGACGCAGGCCGGAGGGCGGAGCCAGAGAGGAAGAAACCAACTGCCCGCTGGAGCGGGGAAGAAGAGCGAAGGAGCTAGCGGAAGAACCCAAGGAAAGGGAGGCGGCCAAGGAAGAGGCTCACCCGCAGACGGAAGAAGCCAGGGCAAGCCGCCAGGAGGAGAGCAGGGTTTTCGTGCCCTCCAGAGCTGCAGCCTGTGATCCCGAGGTCCTGGGACACCAGGCAGCTGCCCCACATGCTTGCCGCTGCCGGCGCCCGGCCGCCTTCCGCACGCCAGCCCTCTGCTCGCTGCTCCCTGCCAGTCGCCAGCTTCTCACAGGCCAGCCGAGGACCCCCGGAGCGAGCGAGTCCTCGTCACCACGACCCCAGTGGGTCCGGTTTCTCAGGTTACTGACTTGTGGGGAGGAATAAGGAATGCTTTAGAAAGCAACATTCTATAAACGTGGGACACAATGGGGAGATTCGGCGTGGGGTGAGAAAAGCGGCATCTACATCTTTGAAGGTTCCGGTTCCGCTGGGTCAGTTCCAAAGAACAAGCAGGGAAACCCTGCAAAAGAGCACGGAAGGACCCGGTGGGAGGCAGACCCCGCGGTGCAAGCAGACAGACCCTGGGGACGAACAGAGAAACCAGAAAGAAATAGACTACTGCGTCGCGCGTTGGGGATACGATAACAAAAAAAAAAAAAAAAAAAAAAAAAAAAAAAAACCTGCAGAAAAGCAGACTTAAACTAGTGGCATTGACATACTTAGGAAAGCCATATGGAAAATGATAAAAATTGGATCTTTTTGTCCTTGTTCACAAGGATAAATTTTCTAATAGATCAGAAACCTGAATGTAAAAAATGAAAACAAGTGCTAGAAAACATGGAGTGAATTTTTCTGTGCAGGTATGTGTATTCATATGTATTATGAGTGGCCAAAATTATGTCTCAATATCCAGAAGCAACAAAGGAAGATATTTGTAAACTTGATTACTTAAAATAATTTGCTTGGCTGGCGCCGTGGCTCACTAGGCTAATCCTCCGCCTTGGGGCGCCAGCACCCCGGGTTCTAGTCCTGATCAGGGCGCCGGATTCTGTCCCGGTTGCCCCTCTACCAGGCCAGCTCTCTGCTGTGGCCAGGGAGTGGAGGATGGCCCAAGTACTTGGGCCCTGCACCCCATGGGAGACCAGGATAAGCACCTGGCTCCTGCCCGTGGAGGCCACTGGAGGGTGAAGCAACGGCAAAGGAAGACCTTTCTCTCTGTCTCTCTCTCTCTCACTGTCCACTCTGCCTGTCAAAAAAAATAAAATAATTTGCCCTACTCCTTGCCTCCCCCCCCCAACACATACAAAAGCAAAATAAGCAAAATTTGACATTGACAACCTGAGAAAATATGTAACATATTACAGACACAAAATAAATGTTCCTGAAATACAAAGAACTTTACAAATACAAGAAGAAAATGGCCAGCAAACCTATGGGAAAATGGGCTGAAGAAATGAACTGATCTCAGGCAGAAAAATGCAAGTAGCTTATAAACATGGAAACAGGCTCTGCTTTGCTCAACATAGATAAAAATTAAATATACACTGGGATATCATTTCTCACTCAGATTGGCAAGGTCTGAGCAATTGACAAAAGGCTGCTGGTGAGGGCATGTGGGGGAAACAGCCACCCTTAACACATTGCCATCATTGTACAAAATGATGCAACCTATGTGCATGAGAATTTGGTAACATCTCCCAAAATTACTCACCTATTTACCTACGGACTGACAACCACTTCTACAGATCTATCTGGCAACACAACAAATGCTGAAAAGATATGCAGACGAAGGATCTCTGTGTATCTCCCTTGCTCTCTGCCATTTTGCCTTTCAAATAAATAAAAACAAATCTTAAAAAAAGACATATGCACAAGACTATGTCATTCCAGCCTTATTTATAATAACAAAAGGCTTGGAATAACCAAATATCCATCAATAAAAGAACTGCTGAATAAGCCAAAGTATACCATGAAGCTGTATGTAAGAAATGAAATAATTTTACATGCTGCTAGGGTATGGTTTCTTAAATATATTTGAAATAAGATACAGAAAAAGTATTTATAGGATAATACTTTAATCAAGTGAAAGACAAAAATGATATTGTAGAGCCGTAGGGTAAAACTGACATGCAATAAATTACAGGGACTTAAGTGCATATATTTTGACATGTCAAACTGAAACCATCATCATCAAGACAATGAACAAATCCAAAGTCTCAACCCCTTGGTAACCCCAGCCTCTGCTCCTAGTCATTCCTCTTAGCCCCTAATCCCCAGGCAGAATTTCTGTCATGATAGTTTGCATTTTCTAAAGTTTCATAGGCACAGAATAATACATCATGTAGTCTTATTTTCTCTGGCTTCTCTCATTCGGCTTAATTTGAGATTTCATCTACACTGCAGTATGTATGTGGGGTCTGTATATGTAAGTTCATTTGCATTGCTAAGTAAAATTTCCTTTTGTGTTTATATATATATGTATAAATAGATATATCAGTTTGCCTGTCACCTATTAATTTGTTTTGGCTTTTACAAACAATGCTACCAAGGACATAGATGTCCATGTCCTTTTATAGATGTATAACTTTCTCTAGCGCAAATCCTCAGAGGAGGAATGGCTGAATCATGCCAGTTGTATGTTTACCTTTTAAAGAAGTTGGTTCTTGGGCCAGCATCCCATATGGATGCTGACCTAGAAGAAGCTCATGGCTCCTGGCTTTGGCCTAGCGCAGACTCAGCCATTGTGGCCGTATGGGGAGTGAAACAGCTGATGAAAGATCTGTCTCTCCCTCTCACTCTCTGTATCTCTCCCTTTCCCCTTTCAAGTAAATAAATCTTAAAAAAAAAAAAAAAAAAAAAAAAAAAAAAAAAAGAAGGTAGTTCTACCACTTTACATGCCACCAGCAGTGAATCTGAAGCCAGGAGACAGGAGCTTCCTCTGGGTCTCCCACATTGGGGGGCTGGGGCCCAAGCATTTGGGCCATCTTGTACTGCTTTCCCAGGCCATAGCAGAGAGCCGGATCAGAAGTGGAGTAGCCAGGACTTGACCCAGTGCGCATTTGGGATGCCAGCACTGAAGGTACTGTCTTTACACACTACACTGCAGCACCGGCCCCATCAGTCTTTAATTTTTATACATTAGTAAGTGTGCAGTGAGTGATAACTCACTATGGTTTAAATTTGCATTTCCCTGATAACTAATGATACTGAGCATTTTAAAAAGTTTTATTTATGGGGCCGACGCTGTGGCACAGCGGGTTAACGCCCTGGCCTGAAGCGCCGGCATCCCATATAGGTGCCAGTTCATGTCCCAGCTGCTCCACTTCTGATCCAGCTCTCTGCTATGGCCTGGGAAAGCAGTACAAGATGGCCCAAGTCTTTGGGCCCCTGCACCCGCGTGGGAGACCTGGAAGAAGCTCCTGGCTCCTGGCTTCGGATCAGCACAGCTCTGGCCACTGTGGCCAAATGGGGAGTGAACCATCGGATGGAAGACCTCTCTTTCTGCCTCTCC